TGGGTGGTGCGTGAGTGTGTGAGGGTGCATGTGTGTGTGGTGCGTGACTGTGTGAGGATGCATGTGTGCGTGGTGCGTGACTGTGTGAGGGTGCATGTGTGCGTGGTGCGTGACTGTGTGAGGGTGCATGTGTGCGTGGTGCGTGACTGTGTGAGGGTGCATGTGTGCGTGGTGCGTGACTGTGTGAGGGTGGTGCATGTGTGCGTGGTGCGTGACTGTGTGAGGGTGCATGTGTACGTGGTGCGTGACTGCGTGTGTGTGTATGCTTGCATACGTGCGTACGTGTGTGTAAGCTATTTTCTTTAGTCGACTGATGTACGGTTGTATCACTGCATGTAGGTAGGCTACGTGTGTCGGCCCTCTGTGAGTGAAACTAGCCGTTATGTCATAGTCAAATTACAACGAGACAAGGATGCGTGTCAGGCGTGTCCACTATAGCAGACGATTAAAGGCCACTCACTTCCATCATATTTGGCGACCCACGTGATGTCCTCTTCCAAACCCGCAATGTCAAAGTTGCGTCCGTTGAATTTCTTGCACTGTTCGTCCCTGAAGTCGGAATCGTCTGCGCATTCCTGCATACAGATAGCAGCAAGCAATCATTATACGCTGCTGACAGACAGCGAGAAGGGGTTATCAAATACGAGGACGTATTGGGTTAAAACATTTATAGGGGTTTATTTATGACGAGCACATATATCTGGTAGTGATAAGAGCTATCCTGCAGTTAAACATTTTGGTCAGATCATTACCTGCTAACCATGAGGGTGCATCTAATGTGTCAGAGTGTGATATAAGCCACGAAGTACGGCGTGTGTGCGTGTACGTGTGTGCATGCGTGTGCGTGTGCGTGTGCGTGTGCGTGTGCGTGTGTGATATAAACGTGACAAACGAGAAACAAAATACACACATGATGTACATATGATATACATAGAACACGGACGAACACACACGGTTTTATTTTAAATCATAACTGGCTGTTGATCTGATATGCTTACAATATAAGATACATGGCGCACGTACTAACGCATGGCATTATGTAGCTTGTAGGATTGTAGAAGAATGCAATGACAATGAACTTACGTGAGTTTCACACGATGAGTAGTTCACGCGCAGTCCTATGCAGTACTGTCCCCCATTAGAGGGCCTGTAAGTGAGCAAGACAACACGATGTGTAAGACTGTGCATATGTTGTGCACTAAGCGGATATGCTAAAATCGAGAATTTTTTTTTTTTAATAGCAGCTGAATCGGTCTCATGATTGAACCATCACGCACGCACACACGCAGCGTGGTAGTGTCGTAGTAGTAGCAGCAGCAGCAGCAGCAGTAGTAACAACAGCAGCAACAACAACAGCAGTAGCAGTAGCAGTAGCAGTAGCAGCAGTAGCAGCAGCAGCAGCAGCAGCAGCAGCAGCAGCAGCAGCAGCAGTATACTGCTGCTGCTGCTGCTACTGCTACTACTACTGCGGCTACTACTGCTGCTGCTGCTGCTGCTGCTGCCACTACTACTGCTACTACTGCTGCTGCTGCTACTGCTGGTACTGCCGCTATTACTACCACTGCTGCTCCTGCTGCTGCTGCTGCTACCATTGCTGCTAATACTACTGCTGCTGCTACTTCTGCTGATGCTACTGCTGCTGCTGCTGCTACTGCTACTGCTGCTGCTGCTACTGCTGCTACTACTACTACTGCTGATGCTACTGCTGCTGCTACTACCCAGCAGCAGCAGCAGCAGTACCAGCAGCAGCAGCAGCAGTAGTAGTAGTAGCATCAGCAGCAGTAGAAGCAGTAGTAGTAGCAGCAGCAGCAGCAGCAGCAGCAGCAGCAGCAGTAGTAGCAGCAGCAGCAGTAGCAGTAGCAGTAGCAGTAGCAAGCAGCAGCAGCAGCAGCAGTAGCACCAGCAGCAGCAACTGAAACAGTAACTGCCGCAGTAGTAGTAACAGTAGCAGCACCAGCAGCAGCATGCGTGATCACTCACACTGGGTTGTTGCACTCGCGGGTTGACTTCATGATTCCGCCTCCACATGAGCGTGAGCACTGGCCGAACGGGCCCCACGCGCCCCAGGCGCCATCTACTGGCGTCACACGGTCCTTGCTGCGCGGCTCACACTTTCCCTGCATGCACCACTGCAACGACGGATAGAAGCAAGACACGCGTTACAATCAATCTATCCTCAAAACAATAACCACATAATTGTAATAGATATTTAGTAATTATTATTGACATTGGCATGGTATTATTATTATTGCCTTTATCATTATTAATATTATTATGAGCAATTTAAAAAATTAATATTATTAATTTCTTATGAACTTCTATTATTATTATTATTATTACTATTATTATTATTATTATTGTTATTAGTAGTGATAGTAATAGTATCAAGTTTTACTATCATGATCATAATTATCAAAATAATGATAACTATATAACAATCTGTGGTAATACAAATATTGTCAAATCGATAAATTAAACAGGATGATGAGGCGCACGCCGTGACCTTCGAGCGACCCGACCAAGATTCAAGATTCAAGATTTATAATTCGTCGCTGACCCGACCAGCCGCTATCTTGCCTACCATCTGCGTGTCGGGGCTGCCCCATTGTTCGCCGCACCTCGTGCCGTCAGCCCAGGGCAGATGCTGCGTGCGGCAGCCCGTCCGGTCACCGAGCGAGCCCTTGCACCACAGCAGGCCGCACTCCGGCTGTAAGAACAATGCGTATCGAGTCGAGCCGTGTGCATGCAGAGACAGAGGGGTGCTACCACCGCCACGGTAGCCATGATGGCTGCGTGAGACAGTGGTAATAGCTAAATCGGATTCACTTCACTCACGAGAGCGAACCCAATGAAAGAGTGAACGAGCAGAGAACCATTGCTGTGGCAACTAGCACTGCTGCCATGCCGATGCAGATATCAATCAGGATGTTTTCCGAAATCGCAATGAGGATTTTAAATGTCGCACGCAATGTGTCCAGATGATGACAATCACAAAACACGACATGATAGAGGCACGCGATGGTAGCGAAAACGCACATATCATAATAATTCTGGCAACTTGCGACTACTCAGATACGATATGAAGACCTTGACACAATGACACACTAGTAGTCATGCTCGCAGGCACGTGATGCAAACGTTGACACGCTGAGAATTTAATCATTTGACACGCTGACAAATTAATCAGTTGACATGCTGACAATTTAATCAGTTGACACGCTGACAATTAAATCAGTTGACACGCTGACAATTTAATCAGTTGACACGCTGACAATTAAATCAGTTGACACGCTGACAATTTAATCAATTGACACGCTGACAATTTAATCAGTTGACATGCTCCATGCTGACAATTTAATCAGTTGACACGCTGACAATTTAAGAAATTGACACGCTGACAATTTAATCAGTTGACACGCTGACAATTTAAGAAATTGACATGCTGACAATTTAAGAAATTGACTCGCTGAAAAATCTGACACGAACTGACACTTTAGCAAGTTGACTTACGCACGAATTGACACTGGGGTTAAGTTTAACGATCAACACTAGAATAAGTTGACACACTAACAGTTGGTCAACACAGTACGGCCACACACACACACACACACGCACGTACGCACGCACGCACGCACATACACACACACACACACACACACACAACACGCAGGCACGCACATCGACACACTACACACACACACACACACACACACACACACACACACACTTTTCATACCTCTTTCTCCCCTGTTCCCTACGGCTTCTTTCTCCCTGGTTTCCTACACGCTCTTTCTCCCTGGCTCCCTATAACGCCTCTTTCCTCCCTTGTTCCTACGCTCTTTTCTCCCCTGGCCTTTAACTAACACTCTTTCTCCCTATGTTTCCCTACGCTCTTATCCTTCCTGGTCCTTACTAACACTCTCTTTCTCCCGGCTCCTTACTTAACACTTCCTTTTCTTCACCTTGTTCCTACGCTTCTTTCTTCCTGGCTCCTTACTAAACTCTTTTCTCCCTGGTTCCCTCACGCTCTTTCTCCCGGTTTCCCTAACGCTTCCTTTCTCCTCCCCTGGGGTTTTCCCTACGCTTTTTCTCCCTGGCTCCCTATAACGCTCTTTCTCCCCTGTTCCCTACGCTCTTTCTCTCTGGGCTCCTTACAACACTCTTTCTCCCCTTGTTCCCCTACGCTCTTCTCCCTGGTCCCTAACGCTTTTTTCCCCTTTGTTCCCCTACGCTCTTTCCCCTGGCTCCCTTACTAAACACTTTCTAACCTTGGTTCCCTAACGCTCTTTCTCCCTGGCTCCCCTACCTCTTTCTCCCTTGTTTTTCCCTACGCTCTTTCTTTCCCTGGGCTCCTTTACTAACACTCTTCTCCCTGGTTCCCTAACGCTCTTTCTCACATGGTTTCCTGCGCTCTTTCTCCCGCCTTCCATTAACGCTCTTTCTCCTTGTTCCCTACGCTCTTTTCCTGGCTCCCTACACTCTTTCTCCCTTGTTCCCTACGCCTCTTTTCCTTCCTGGCTCCTTACTAACACTCTTTCCTCCCTGGTTCCCTAACGCTCTTTTTCTCCCTGGTTCCCTAACGCTCTTTTCTCCCTGGTTTCCTAACGCGCTTTTTCTCCCTGGCTCCCTAATACGCTTCTTTCCCCTTGGTTTCCTACGCTCTCCTCTCTGGCTCCTTACTAAACACTCCTTTCTCCCTTGTTCCTACGCTCCTTTCTTCCTGGCTCCCCTTACTAAACACTCTTTTCTCCCCTGGTTCCCCTAACGCTCCTTTCCTCCCTGGTTTTCCTAACGCTCTTTCTCCTGGCTCCTACCTCTTCCCCTTGTCCCTACGCTCTTTCTTCTGGCTTCCTTAACTAACACTCCTTTCCTCCCTTGTTCCCCCTAGCTCTTTCTCCTGGCTCCTTACTTAACACTCTTTCTCCCCCTGTGTTCCCTAACGCTTCTTTCTCCCTGGTTTCCTACGCTCTTCTCCCTGCGTTTCCCTAACGCTCTTTTTCTCCCTGGTTCCCTACGCTCTTTCTTCCCTGGCTCCCCTACGCTCTTTCTCCCCAGGGCTTCTCTTACTAACACTCTTTCTCCCTGGTTCCCCCAAACGCCTTCTTTCTTCCCTGGTCCCATACGCTCTTTCTCCCTGGCTCCTACCCGCTCTTTCTTCCGAATTCCCTTAAACGCTCTTTCTCTCTGGCCTCCTTTTACGCTTCTTTCCCTTGGCCCCTACCACTCTTTTCTCCCTGGCTTCCCTACGCTCTTTCTCCCTGGCTCCCTACTAACAAACTCTTTCTCTCCCTGATTCCCTCCACGCCTTCTTTCCTTCACTGGCTCCTACGCTCTTTCCCCTTGGCTCCCTAGCTTCCCCTTTTCTCCCTGGCTCTACGCTCTTTTCCTCCCTGGCTCCTACGCTCTGCGCCCTATTTTGCGTTTTGGCAGAACATTTAATCGCCGTAAATTAAAAGTTCTTGCGGGAGCGCCAGACATGGTAGTTTTGTATTCGCGCAATCTGTGTTTTCCCCTCCTAATGCCTCCCCTCAATGCTCGGCGCGCGTCCCCGTTTCATGGTGTTGTGGCCAACGCCAAAGCTTAAGAATAGTTTTGCATAGAACGACGCGGTAAGGCTTGAAGGTATGCTATCGAAATGACAGAGAGAAATAACTAAAATAATAAACACAAGGAAACAGGCCGCCGCTTGCCAGTGCGTTAGGTCGCAAACAACATCCGAACTGGCGGGAAACAGTCAAGTGGCGGGAAATCTGAACCAACCGCCCCTCTTTAACGAGGTCAACCCACTCTCAATCCGCGCGCCCATCGGTTCAAACTGTCCTCATTCGCCGGTTTTTAGCTTTGTCTGGTTCCATTCCTGTCGGTCGGTCCCATCGGTCAGTCTATCGGCGGGAGCAGGCAGGTCTGTCTCGCCAGTTTTGCGGGTTCTGGTTAGGGTACATTCCGTCACGCGCTGGGGGGCATCGGCTGTAAAAGACAGGAATAAGGGGATCACGTAGTGGCTCACGGTTACATAGATAGCAAGAGCAGTGCTGGGTGGCCGGACGTGGCTGTAACGGGGCGCTATACGCGGCGCCTATCATAGTCACTGCGACACACTAGCATCGCAGCAGGCATGGCAGCAGTCCATAAGGCAGTAGAGGAAGAATGTCTCCCTACCCCAAACTGCACTGTGCAGGGGAGGGGTGGGGGGTTTACCCTGAATATATGCTGGATTGTGCTGGGCGTAATCCGTATAAGTGGGTAC